CATAATAATCTAAATGAATATAAAATATATATTAATCAATTATATTTACAATCACAAATACAAATGAATCTTCAACAATTTATTGATCAAATGCCTATTATTATTCAATTTATAGATTTTAAAACTGAATTATATCGACAAATAAATTTAGAAACATCTCTTAAAATTTTACAACAAACTCTAAATTCATTACCATTTTTAAAAATAACAAAATTAATCTATAATCTTAGTCAATTTTATCGTCTTCTACATCAAACTTATTCAAAATTAATTGAACAAAATGAATTTTTAACAATAACATTACAAGAATTATATGATCGAGGTCAAAAATATTATAATAATTCTAATTATCAACAAAATCAAAATGAAGATAGAACACATCGATCAATTATTGAAAATGGAATTGAAGCTGTCAAAATTTATCATCAATTTTCTAATGGTTTTATTCGACCGGGTGCTTGTGATGAAACTCAACATTTTTCAATCATTACTTTTGACACACCAGTTAGTTATTTAGTTACAAATGAAAATCATGACGAAGGCGATATTGTTATGCGCATACTCAGGTTAATTCATTTTACCTTTAACTTCCGTATATGACATGACTGAGAGCAAGTATCTGAAATACTTATCCTGGTACAAAAAAAATAATATCTAGTTCCAATCATTAGGTAATTGAAACGGATGAATGAAGTACCTCACTACCAACGATAAAATTAATACTACCCCTATTTTTCATGGATATTTTCAATGATAGTAAACCATAGAAGACAAAAGTTCGTCAGAAAATTGTTTCATTTAAAGAACTTTGTAGAGCTGATACAGCTGATCATTTTGGTAAAAAAATAAACTTTTAAATATCCTTAAAGAATGATGATAGTACATTCAAAATCCTCAACAAGCGTCAATTACTGCTTGGCAGAAGTTAGAAATAGCCGCAAGATTTTGAGGATTTGGAACGTATTACTATCATTTTTTGAGGATATCTACAAGTTTATATAAATGAAACAATTCTCTAACAAACTCTTGTCTTTTATGGTTTATTATCATTGAAAATATCCATGAAAAATAGATGTAGCATTAATTTTATCGTTGGTAGTCAGCTGATTCGATTCCGAACTTTCGAATTCAT